TATATAGATATATATACCTAGCGCAGTTCCATAACCTCCAGTTGCTAGTGATCCAGTATTGCAGTGGGTCAGAATCCGAAGGGACTTGTCGTTCCTCTCAAGAATATGATTTGCTCCAAACATTCCCATTTTTTTGTTGATTTCTATATCCTTCTCCAGGAATGACTCTGCCATACTCATTATTCTATGCAATCAAAATAAAATCGAAGGTTTTCATGAATTTAATCCGTCATAAGCAGGGTTTCTTCTGGGGGAAAATTAGACAATGGAGGTAATGGCCGGTTTGGGGAAAAAACTCGCATAATGGATTCAAAGGTGTGTTTGCGCGTCTCGAGGACCTAGCAAAGAGAGCACCGCAGGAGCTCGCCCAGCTAGGGGGTCCGGGGGCATGCTCCCCCAGGAAATTAAAAAAAGAATTGTGCAATTTGGTGCATTCTAAGCTATTCTGAACACATTGTATGAGACTCTTGAATCTCTTTTTCAAGTTGTCAAAAGGAACAAATAAACTATGAATATGAAATGATGATCACATTAAATAGTAATACAGTCATGTAATGAGTAGACACGAATGTGGATTCTGCAGGCAGATACAGGGGGAAAGAGGTAGAGGGGGGTTCTGGGGTTTCCCCCAGCAAAATTTTAAAAATTTGAGGCACCCTGAAAATAAAATTGCACCTTTTAGTTTAAATCTTACTCTGTTAGAAGACCTACCAAGTCTCACGCATCTGGACCCATTCTCCCACACTCCCGCATGCCCTACGCATTTTCAGGCATTCACGTGCAGGGGCGTAGCTAGCCCTTCAACGATGTGCAGGCAGAACTGAAAAACAGATGGGGGGTATGGGGGTCCTCCCCAAGAAAATTTTGAAAATGTAGACGGCAGGAGATGGTATTTGAGCTACTTTTGAGTACATGTACAGCCTTCATTCTGACTACTACAATTCAATTTTTAGTAGAACAATTATTGCGCTTGCAGCGCGGCATTGATTGATATACAGAGGGGGGGGCATTGTTTAGGTCGCGTTTATTATTGAATATGTAGGGGGTGACCACCACTGGGATGAGAGCGACAGCAAAAAACTTTCTTGGAATTGTGAAAAAGCTGCAAAAGGGTTGTAACCTGCTTTGCCTCTCAATTACATAATTAACCCATGCATCAGGTGCCGTTTTGTACAGCCGCGCGACTATTATACTTGGCAATAATTAATTGGTATGTGTGTAAAAATATTGTTCATTCAACAGAAGGGGGTGGCTACTGGCTAAGTGATCGTCACAACAAACAAGAGAGCAATTTTCATCAACATTCAACATTGCTCAATCATTCAGTGTGTGTGGAGCATAGAAGTTAGAACTAGAATAGAACACACTATGGTGTGGAGTGGGGCATGTCTTTTTCATGTATATTATTTATGTATGTTGTTTCATGTATATTGTAAAAATTCTTTTTAACATAAATGATGTGCAGGCACGTGCCTTTTTGCCTAAAGGCAGCTACGTGCCTGACGTGTGCCGGCACGCAAAAAGAAACGTTGCTGTCAATTTCATTACGATTTTCCATGTATATAGTCAGAAGCACGTGGTGATCTATATATTTTTGGATTGACACTATTTTGACAAGGGCGGGTAAATACAGGAACATTTTCACAACGGCGATGTTAAATATGACAACGGCGGTGCGCCGTAGCGCCTCTTATGTAGAAGAAACCCTGATAAGTTATAAGTTCACGATTCACTTCAGAAGAATAACTTGGGCTGTGACTACCATTGGTGTCGTGGGTGATATACATCCTAGAGAAGGGTACTCCCCAAAGTAGGAGAGGGGAGAGGGGAGGAAGTAGAAGAGGAGTGGGGGAGCAAACAGGGGTCAGGAGAGGAGTAGGAGGAGGAGAGGAGTAGGAGGAGGAGGAGGTTAGATACTCACTGTTCTTTCATTTCAGCTACTGACACCTCATCACAGTCCTTTAATTCAGCAGAAAGCTTTAACAAAACGTCTGCACACCATTTCATGTTCACTGCAGTTGGTCTTGCAGACACAAGATATGTAAGCTTGGTTGCAAGGTATGTGTTCAACATAGACTTGGTATCAAATTCCTGATTGTTTAGGTCAACGACCAGACTGAGTGATCCAACAATTCCAATAGCCGGTGCACCTCTAACCTGAAAAAAGCATATGACTCAGACTATATGATGGACCAAAATATGATCAAATGTCCTTATTCCCTGTTTTATACTAATATAAATTTCACTGTTTTGTTTCAGGGTTAGTTTTGATGCGAAAATAAATGTTTCAGATCTGAAAGTCTGAAATCTGGGCGAGAGATGGCGCTACGCCTAAATGATCGTCATTTTGGTTTTCGATTATCGCGCAAATAAAAGCAATAAAATATTCCAGTCAAATTACTGTAACGAAGAATCTAAAACACAATATTACATGTAGGTACCATATGATTAGGTAGGTAGGTAGGTAAATTTAACAAAATCAAATGAATCTAGATGGCCATTTTTCATTTTTGCCAAAAAGTGGGCGTGGCTCGAAAGTAGGTCGACTGGCGTGCTCCAAACTAGGACGTTCAAATCTCTCCAATAGGAGTAACAACTGTATGCAATTTGAAACATGTGGGTCAAATGGTTCTCGAGTTATCGTTGACCGTAGGCAGACACTGAAATGCATAGTGAAATTGCCAAAATCTACATAATTTAAAAAAAATATCAAAACCCCTGTGATATGTTTTGGGGCCAGTCCTTATTCATTCACATACCAAAAATGAGCAAAATCCATTGAACCTGAACTGACTTATGGCCATTTCCAAGTTTGCCAAAAAGTGGGCATGACTCAAAAGTAGGTCAACTGGCGTGCTCCAAAATAGGACGTTCACATCTCTCCCATATGAGTAACAACTGTATGCAATTTGAAACATGTGGGTCAAACGGTTCTCAAGTTATCGTTGACCGTAGCCAAATGTTGACGGACGGACGGATGGACGGACGACGCCCCACAGCAATAGCTCATCTTGACGATGTCAAGGTGAGCTAAAAATGAGAAAGTAATAATAACGGAATCAGAACCAAAAGGTTCATTAGCACAATTACAATGTTATTTAACACGAACAAGGTAGACATAATTTCTTACCATTACTTATACTATCCTTACCAATGCCTGTACCCAGGATTGGCCGAAGGGGGGTTCCAAATCAGAGGTGTGCGGGCGACTGCGAGCGCCGAAGGCGTGAAGTGATGTTAGGGGTGGTCTGGGGGCATGACCCCCTGGGCAAGTTTTGAAAATTTGCTTTAAAATGGTGCATTCTGGTGCATTTTAACAGTTTTCTTCTGGATAAAATATACCTAGCCCAAGTTATAAAATAGGCCTGTCGACTGTATTTATTTTTTGATGGTTGGGGGGTTCCGGAACCCCTGGAACCCCCCCTTGGGTACGGGACTGGGGACCAGTACAAAAAAAGGTAACTGACATATATTCTAATTATTATAGGTAGTTACAGTATTAGATAGGGTTAGGATCAGGGTTAACCCAACCATTCTTGACACTGCTGGTCGACTTTGAGCAAACACCATAATGGGTCGACAGTTCCTGTAATCTTAAAGTTGCTTTACCTGCATCTGGAAAATTGCTTTCCATCCATCTTCAACATCTCCAATACGTACATACACGGTTTGGTTAGGCAGTAGAAGCTGATCTAATATTGATAACTGCCCACGCTGGTTGTATATAATTGCCTCAGTACCCATCTTCTTAATTCTGTATACAACGTATATCAAAAGCCTTTAAAAATACAATACTTATATTATTATTAATTCCTACTTTTAATGTGTAAATGTATTAATTAACAGTGCTCAACAGGGTACCAACAGTATACCATCAGTCAACCCTACACATGCATAATAAAACGGTAGTGAATGTTAATGTGTGAGAATTCATAGGGACAGTGATTTTTCGCAATCGCAGAAAACGGACGGAAAACACAGAAACGGCCATTGGAAACGGAAAAGATGTTTTCAAACGGAAAAAACGCGGAAAACGTAATTTGAACATATTACATGGAAATTTCAATAAAATCACAAAAAAACACGTCGACAATAGCATTGGTAATGATATGGTTTACACTCAGACAAGTTTCAAAGCGAAATGACTTACAATTACGACTTTTGGTAGCCCTGTGTTTCGGTGCCAACCCAACTGTCAGTCAGTGGCCTAACCTTTTTTTTCATGCAAATATATGGTAAACGAAATTTTGCATTTTTGGTGTGTAAAATCTCTATGGCAAAAAGGAATTTCCATTTTTTTTTACTTTGAAATGGAATTCATGATTTTCCCAAACGAAAAAGGCAATTTTGTGAAACGGAAAATCACTGTCCCTAAATTCAGTCCCAGTATGGAAATAGTGTGTCCTCCGGCTGTGGCACTGAATGGTTAAATTAACAGGATCTAGAATTTTAAGTGCCGTACGGCATTCCCATGCAACATCAGTAAGAACCCGAATGGCCAATGATCGACAGGGCCTATACTTAAAATTTTAAAATATAATAAAGTTTCACGTGTTATTCTGATGATCAACTGATGCCACGATTAGTACATGACATATGTACATGTATATATACATACTTACATCTCATAAATTTTATTCATTTATAATGGAATAATGGTGCATCGATAAAAATGGCGATATGAGCTTGCAAGCACTGTCATGTAAACTAAGATTGCCTTAGTGCAGTGAGATACCAGATCCTGTAACATTATTGGTTATGCACAACATATATGATTGCATGCATGGTGCGGCATGCAGAGTTTGCTACTAAATAGAAATTTAGCAATTGTTTTGCAATTATTGGCAAAGTTAAGAAGTTGAAATTGATTTAGCAGGAGGAATTGTGAATTGTACAAATGTACAATGTACACAAATGTACCTATGCTCGATCGCAGACTGTCATATCAGTTTTAAATTTACACGAACATTCAGCCACAGTTACCACAGTACCACAATTGACTGACAGTGCACATTCTATCCAAACTGCAAGTAAATAGCTTTTCTGTGTCAAACTCAGCTCCGACTCTCTGACACTATATACGACTATATGACCATGGCCTAGAATACTACCAGAAGCTGCCTATACCTGTGGCTATGGCTGATTTTGAGGCACTGTCAGTGGCACCACTCCCAGTTTATATCCCAATGTGTGATATAGCGCTTTGATGTATCCAACTGGTTTTGCCGTGGGGGGGGGGGGCAAAACCACGAATGGTCTGGTCAGCATACACAGCTACGTACCCTCTATAGTGCTGCATACAAAAATTACTCACCGATTAGTGATTACTAAACTGCCGAGTTTCTTGTCCATGTAAAATGCATTTATGCCTGTGTATATTTCTGCATGCGCATGTCAAACCATGCCTTTTGGGGTTGCCTCACACGTAACGAATATCAACACAGTACATCAAGCCATTTAGATTTGTGCCCATGTTGTTGACGGACGGACGGACAGACGGAGTCATGCCATTATTACTACCTGCATCTGACTGTGTCACATGAGATAAATAACTTCAATTTTGCAATTAAACAGGAAAGATCAGAATTCCAATATAGGATGACAGAAATGAAGAAGCTTAACTTAAAGCTATTCTATTCCTAAATCTATTCCTTAGAAGGTTGTACATGCTAATGGCAATGATTATACTAAGGTGATTGCTACAAATAGGTGCGGGCGGTGCTACGTCACAGATCAGTAGTCACGTGACCACCAGCAGAACGCCAGTGAAAACCACACGATCGCGTCACTGGCGCCCATAGATTACTGCATAACAATACAAATTATCCGTCACTTAGTTTGGAAGTTTTAATAAGTTTTTTTCATGAAATTTCTTCTAATATGTCTTGCGAGTATATAGATAGCCTTTCTGTAGCTATAATTATGACATTATGTAAGATACATATATGCACTGCAAATGTAAAATATTTTAAGCTATTCTTATTTGTTTGCATTAGTTGAATAAAATTACCCCAGGTCTCGTGAAACAAAAACAAAGTCCAAGATTACACAACAGTTTTCACCCTCACCAAACTTGTCTGAGTGTCTGGAGCATGCTGACATCGACATTTTACCAAACATCCGCACCCAATCACGGTACATACTGTTAGTTTGTTTTCCCATTTGACGTTGCAAATAATGGGGTTAAAGTGTGTTTCTGACCTATTTCCTATTTTTAAAAGAAAATAGAAAATAGGAAATGGGTTTCTGATCCGTTTCCTATTTAAAATAAAAATAGAAAATAGGAAATGGGTTTCTGATCCGTTTCCTATTTAAAATAAAAATAGAAAATAGGAAATGGGTTTCTGATCCGTTTCCTATTTTTAAGCTGAAAATCGAAAATGAGAAATAGGTTTCTGATCCGTTTCCTATTTGCGAAGTCACACAATGCAATCGGATCTTTCGCCGATATACGTTGTTCTCAAGCGTAAGAGGATGTAGAGGAGGAGGAGAGAAGGAGGAGGGGGAGCTATAGGAGGATAGTAGGCGGAGGAGAAGGTGGTGGAGAAGGAGGATAGGAGGCGGGGGAAAAGGTGGTGAAGAAGGAGGAGGCGTAGGAGGAGGAAAGATGGTAGTGGAGGGGGAGGAGGGAAGGAGGTAGAGGAAGGAGGAGGTAGAGAAGAGGAGAAGGTGGCGGAGAAGGAGGAGGAGGAGGAGGAGGGGAGAAAGTGGTGGAGGAGGAGGGATAGGAGGAGGGAAGATGGTAGTGGAGGGGAGGAGGGGAGGACGTAGAGGAGGGGAGAAGGTGGTGTAGGAGGAGAGCAGGGGAGAAGGTGGTTGAGGGGGAGTGGTAGGAGGAGGTAGAGGAGAAAAGAAGATGGTAGTGGAGGGGGAGGAGGGGAGGAGGTAGAGGAGGAAGGAGGTAGAGGAGGGGAGAAGGTGGTGGAGAAGGAGGAGGAAGAGAGGAGGGGAGAAGGTGGATAGTAGGCGGGGGGAGAAGGTGGTGGAGAAGGAGGATAGGAGGCGAGGGAGAAGGTGGTGGAGAAGGAGGAGGGGTAGGAGGAGGAAAGATGGTAGTGGAGAGGGAGGAGCGAAGGAGGTAGAGGAGGGAGGAGGTAGAGGAGGGGAGAAGATGGTGGAGAAGGAGGAGGAGAGGAGGGGAAAAGGTGGTGGAGGAGGAGGGATAGGAGGAGGGAAGATGGTAGTGGAGGGGAGGAGGGGAGGACGTAGAGGAGGGGAGAAGGTGGTGTAGGAGGAGAGCAGGGGAGAAGGTGGTGGAGGGGGAGAGAGGGTCACATAGTGACCCGAGTTTGCTAGGGGGGGTCCGGCATGCCCCCCGGAAAAAATGTTGATTCTGAGATGCAATTTCCTGCATTCTGAGGGTCACAAATGACAATAAATAGACAAAAAATGACAATAATTGACTTTTTTTTCTCTATCACAGTGAAATTCGTAGTTTGATACAAACTGGCCGTAGTGGTGCAAAAGGAATAGAAATTCGTATAAAATACGGATAAATCTTAGTGGTTGGCATCTCTGGCACGCACACGCACTCGCACACACAGTGACACACTCACACGCACACACACACGCAGTTATAAAATAGTAGTTACCTGTCACGAAATGATCAAAACAAATAGTGGAGAATTTTGACGGACTCCAGTGTATACCTTTTACATTTACTCATTTACTCATTTACATTTAAGTGGCAGTCAGCCACTTATGACTTATCACGCCTCTCTGGACTCTTATGTCATTTTGGCAGCTCAAAAAAATATCTTTTCTTATCTGTGCAATATATATGATTGTGACAACCTACTACTACACACGTTTTTGGCATATATATGCAAGGAAATTAATATGCTTTTGGTTTGGAAATGGGGTATTGCGTGTGTAAGCTCACGGAGACAGGCTGTTGTTTTCACCGGCACAGCTGGTTGCTAGGTTAAGAAAGTCCCGGATGTGGCAAAGTTCCCGTATGTCCGCCCGCACCTATAGGCAAGAGGGCCTACCGTACCAATCTTTAACTAACCATGATAAATTTTATAACGGTTATATATATATACCGGTACCTAAACCGACCAGGCTCTACGACTTTTACATGGCGTAGGCCTCTCGCCGACGTAGTGTTAAGCGAGAAGGGAACTTGTGGCTAATATATACCCAGTATATATATTATAAGTTTTGCATGAACTGATAGTATTAGTGATATATCATATAGTTCATGCAGATACGAAGAGAATGCCAATCAAGTTGATTCAAAACAATTTCAGAACTGTCACAGCCTTACAGTTACACCATGGAAACATATACAAACACGTGCTGTTAGTGTTACTGTTAGTGTTGCTGAGAGGGTTTATGTCCCCCAGGGTACTGCCGGTGTCACGGTCTGAGATTACCCCCAGTCTGAAATTACCCTAGCGCTACTGCGCATGCGCCACACATGCACACGAGGTGCTGGGTGTAAAGCGCAGTAGCAAAAATTAGCATTGGTTAACTGAGACTGCCACCGTCACAGCAGTCAGCGTCTTAACGCCATTTGTTTTAGCAAAGTTGTTGTATTCGCCATTTGTCAAAAATACGGACAGAAGCAGTTTATTATTGCTCTCTCCAACACGGACGTGACTATACGCACGGCGGCCGTGTGGATAAGATTCAATATAGCTATACGCACGGCGGCCGTGTGATGATCGACCCTCAATATTGGTAAGGGAATGAGGAAGGGGAGAAGGGAGAAGCGGTGGGAGAAAGGAGGGGAGTAAGGGGAAAGGGGGGTGGGTGAGAAGGAGGAAGGGAGAAGATGGTGGAGAAGCGAGGAAGGGGAGTAAGGAAGAAGGGTAGTGGAGAAGGAGGAGGGGAGAAGCTGTTGGAGAGGAGGGGGGAAGGGAGAAGGTGTTGGAGGGAGAGGAGGGGGAGAAGGCTTGGGTGGAGAAGGGGGAGGGAGGACGGGAGAGGTGGTGCGGGGAGGGAGAAGGCTGGTGGAGAAGGAGAAGAGGGAGAAGGAGAAGGTGTGGAAGGAGGGGGAGAAGCTGGTGGCGAAGGAGGAGGGGAGAAGCTGGTGGAGAAGGAGAAAGGGAGAAGGAGGGGAGAAGGGAGCTGGGTGGAGGAGGGGGAGAAGGGAGAAGCTGGTGGGAGAAGGAGGAAGGGAGAGGAGAAGGTGGTGGAGAAGGATGAGGGGAGAAGCTGGTGGAGGGAGGAGGGGAGAAGGGAGAAGTGGGTGGAGGAGGGGAGAAGGCTGGTGAGGAAGAGGATAGAGAGAAGGAGTGGGAGAAGAGAGGCTGGTGGAGGAGGAGGGGGAGAAGGGAGAAGTGGATTAATGATGGGAGAAGGGCAGCCGGTGGAGAGGAGGGGAGAAGGAGAAGGGTGGGCGGCACCAGGAGGGGAGGAAGCTGGTGGAGCAGGGCAGGAAGGGGGCGAAGGGAGAGGGTGGTGGGAAGGAGGAGGGAGAGAGCTGTGGAGAGGGGAAGGGGAGAAAGGGAGAGGTGAGTGGAGAAGGAGGAGGGAGAGAGCTGTGAGAGCGGAGGAGGGGGGAGCAGCTGGTGAGGAAGGAGGAGGGGAGGAAGGTGGTGGAGGGAGGGGGAGAAACTGGTTGGAGGGAGGAAGAGGAGGAGGGGGGAGACAAGAAGCTGGTGGAGGAAGGGGGAGAAGAGAGAAGTGGTTGGAAGAAGGAGGAGGGGGAGAAGCTGGTCGTAGCTTCCTCCTTCTCCCACAGCTTCTCTCCTTATCCATCAGCATTCTCCTTTACCCCCTCCTTGCTCATACAGCTTCTCCCTCCCCGCCTGCATCCTGCCTCGTCGCGCCTATTCCCATCACCCATGCTTCCCCTCCTCCTCCTTCCCCTCCTCCTCCACACCGGTTCTCCTGCCTCGCTCCTCTACTCATGACCTTCTCGCCTCCTCTCCCTCCTCCTCCTCTGGGGGCCTGTCTCCGGCATCACCTTCTCGCCCGGTCCCCAGGTAGCCTGTGGCGGGCGCCGGCGTGATCGGCGCAATCACCGCTTCTCCCTCCTCCCCTCCTCCTCCTCTATCCTTTCTCCCCTCCTCCTCCCCTAGCTGGGGACTGCAATCTCGATCGTCTGGGGGGATCTCTCCTTCCATCACCTTCTTCCTCCTCTCTCCTCCTCCTCCTACTCCATACCTCTCTCTTTCTCCTCCTCCTCTGCATTACTTCTCACTCCTCGACTCCTCCTCTCGCCTTCTCCAATCACCTCGCGTCCTCCTCCTCCTCCTCCGATCTATTCCATCATCTTCTCCCGCTCCTCCTTCTCCTCCTCTCCTCTTCCTTCTCCCTCTCTCCTCCCCTACTCCATCACGCTCTCTCCTCCTCTACTTCTCCACCACCTTCTCCCCCCCTCCTCTGCTCTCCATCACCTTCTTCCTCTCTTCCCCCTACTCCTCACTTTCTCCCCTCCTCCTTCTCTCCTCCTCCCTCCTGGCCCTACTCCATCACCTTCTCTCCTGCCTCTCCTCCGTCCTGCTCCCGTAACTCCACTCCTTCTCCGCCCTCGCTCCTCCTTCTCCTCCTCGCTACCATCGAACGTTCTCCCGTCCTCCTCCGCCGACCTCTATCACCTTTCTGTCCCTCTCTCCCGCTAACTTCCATACTCCTTTTTTCCCCTCCTCCAACTCTCGCTCTGCCTCTCATCACCGTTGTCCCTCCTCTTCGCCCACTTCCATCATTCTCCCTTCCTACCTTGCTCCTGCCTCTCCTCCCCCTATCCATCAGCTTCTCTCCTGCCTCCTCGCTCGCTCCTCCTCGCTCCCCCTTATCCATCAACCTCTCCCTACTCTCCTCCCTCCTCCATCATCCTTCTCTACTTCCTCCTGCCTGCTCCTCCATGTACATTTCGCCTGGCCCTCCTCCTCCTTCTCCTCCTCCCTTCTCCATCACTTCT